TGCAATAGGCAGAAGCTGAGCCCAAATACCAGGAACAGGGTTGGGGCAACTTACTCTGTTCACAGTGGCGCCCAGTGAAGCCTGTTCGACAGGTGCATTTCCCAGTGATGTGGTCACAGCTGGCTCCATTCTGACACTGGCATATGTGCCCACAATCCTTCCCAAAAAATGCCACAGGGCAACCTGCAACAAGACCATAGGTCACAGTGGCTGTGGGGTCAGGGAAACTTAAGATGTTACTGGGACCAGGCTTGTCTGCTGCTTCCTCTGCATCATGGGATAAAGGCTAGTGAGCCTCACAGAGACATCTGTACCCAATGAACCTCTGTCTAAAGGGATGGAGGGTAGGGGTAAGGTGATCCATGCAACTAGGGCCTCAGCAGCAGAGGACAAGCTCTGGTGTTTTGTTGTGCAGCCCTGGGATTTCTTCCCCATGGTCCAAGGCTCAGATCTTGTTGATTGCTGGGGTACCCTATAGCCTTGGCCTTTCAAGACTTTGGATGATCCTGAGGTGTGGCTGGTCTTGGGGCCAGCCTCTTCCCCCCTGTCTACAAGCCAAGACTATTCACAAAGTGACCAGTAGGCTGCAGCATATGACTGGGAGTGGCTGGGAGGCAGGGCTTACGCTGCGTGCAGAAGAGTCCAGTCCAGCCAGGGGTGCAGTGGCAGGCCCCATCCTCGGCGCTGCAGCTCGCCCCGTTGTGGCAGCTGCATGTATGGAAGCAGGCAGAGCCCCAGAACCCAGATGGGCAGGCTGTGGGAGGGGGGGGATGGGATGCAGAGGGGGAGGGCAGGGCAGAGAGGAGCAGGAGGGAAAGGAGGGGAGGCAAGTACACATCAGAGCCAGGATACCTGGATGGACCCAGAGGGACATCTCTTGGCCTTCCGGGACTTGATATGCTATTCTCAGAATTCCTCAGCTCACTCTTGACCTCATCCCCTGGGACTGCTATGAGGCCCAGATTCTCTGCCTACTCTCTTAATCTTGGGTGATTAAGACAGCCTTGGTCCAAGGGTTCCTGAACCTCCATTCTTACAGGGACTTACAGGGATAGAGGTGGTATAACACTTCTCCACAAGTGACAGGGACTGTCTCCTCTTCGGGTTCTTTTGCTATTTGAGGATGGAGCCTGTGTCTGGTCATTTAACTGGGACCTCCTTACAGATACTGGCTTTGTCTCATACATCAGACAGGGAGCTCCATAGGCCAAGGACTGAGGCCCCTTTGGGAAGGGTTGTTGCCTTGGTATCAGACTGTAGCACCTTGTTCAGGCTTAGGATGCTCAGGACATCATTCATAGGGGCCATCCCACAGGGTGCTCCCATTTTTTCAGGGATGGCTGCCCTAGCCCAGCATGCCAGCTTTGTTCTCTCCTCCCCATCTATATTCAGACTGCTCCTTCTATACACAGATGCTAATGGAGTATGAATCCTCAGGATTCGCAGCATTAATGGCACTGACAATATTGATGCCTTTAATATCTGCAGTAACAATATCCATGATCAGTACCAGTAACTCATCAAGTTTGCTGTTTAGCTAAGTGGAACTTTCAGGGTTGGGGAACAATGACATGGCTCAATGGGTAAAGGCACTTGCTACCCAAACCTGGTGAACCTGAGTTGAATCCCTGGAACCTACATAAAAGCGGGAGAACCTGACGCTATAGAGTTGACCTCTCATCTTCACATACATGCTGTGACACACATCATACACATAGAAATAATACAAAGAAATAAACGGGTCTCAGATGGATGTTCTTGTCTCCAGGAGAGTTCAGCTCTGTGGGTGGAGGTACCATGACAGAGAGAGGAGCACTTGCAGGGAGGGGAAGCAGCTTACCCTGTGAGCAGTCCTTGCCAATCCACCCAGGGAAGCACTGACAGGAGCCATCGATGGGGCTGCAGGTCCCGTTGTTGGCACAGGAACAGAGCTGGGCACAGTCCTGCCCAAAGCGCCCTCCAGCACACACTGTGGGCACAGGGAAACCTGGTATCTGCCTTCTTTCCCAGGCTCTAAGAGTCACCACCCACCAGCTGCATCCCAAGAGGCTCTTAGGCCACAGCCATGACCTGGACATCATCTGGATGGGAACCAACACCTGCAGGGGCAGGTTGTCCTCCATCGCATAGACTGAGTGCCCCTCCTCCCACAGTAGCTCCCCGCTGAGGCCCATAGAGGGGACATTGCTTGTTTTGGGTCTCATAGATAGAAAGTGTTAAGATAGGGATGGGGTCTTAGGACTCTCAGCCTAGTGCCTCCTAGACTACCTCCAGCCTTCTGCTTTCCTCTGGGCTATCCTTGACTACCCTAGACACACAGGCCACCGGACCACACATCTCTCTCTAAGGGTACTCCAGGCCTTTCTTCTGTGTTTTCCTATGGCTAGTGCCGTCTAAATTCCTCTACCCCTCAAGTCCAGCTATGGATGTTCTGCCTACTAGGCTCATCTTAAGTGTCACCTATCTTGGAACAATAAGATGGAACAACTTAAGACACTGACATCCTTGTCAGCTACCTTAGTGTTCCCCAGCAGCCTGCTTTTGGATCTTTTTAGTTTTCTTAATGTGTAAGCAAAACAATATATATCATTTTCAAGTCACTTATTTGTGTTTTTTCTTGTGTTTTATCTGAACTTGGTCTATCTGGTCTACCCATCTTCTCTCTTCTAGGTGTCTATGTCCCTATTTGAGGCTTCAAGTAGCTTCTTCCTTGAACTTCTCTACTATTAACTGAGACATAACAGCTGTTTCAGGCCAAGCCTGAGTCCTGCCCCTTCTGGTGTCCCCTACAATGCCTGGAGAGTCAGCAGGTGTTCAAGCCACAAGGGCCAAACATCACCCTCCTCCCATCTCTCCCCTGGGTCCTCAGGCCTAAACTTTGTGATGATGGTAAATGTGTTCTCACTTTCTATTCTATCTGACCGTCCAGTGAACACTGAGAAAGTAGGCCTTAGAGTCACAACATTCTAGAAGCTGTACTACTGTGACCATCAGAGGACCAAGAATAGTTCTTTTTTTTTTTTTTTTAATTTACTTATATACATCTGTGTGCAAGTATGTACACATGTGAGCAGGTGCCTGTGGAAGCCAGAAGAGGATGTCAGATCCCTTGGAGGTAAAGTTAGAGGCAGTTGTAAGCCTGACATGGGTGCTGGGAAGTGAACTCAGACCCTCTGCAAGAGCAGCTAGCTTTCTTACCCACTGAGCCCCCCATAGAATAGGTATTGACTTCTTGGAGGAAAGTGGCTTCCTTTGGCTCAGGTCTGAAGCCAGCAATGCTATCACCTCCCTTCCTCCACTCTGCCTCCCATTGCCAACCCTTGCAGCCTGACAATGGGCACCCGGTAGCCCGAATATACATGTAGTCTCTAGCTCTGTGAACATGGCTAGTGGTTGGGACAGATGATAAAGGCAGATGGGCCCAACTCTGCCTGAGATTTTGGGTTTGGGTCCTAGATTTGTTACGCATTCAGCAAACGCATGACACATGCACCAGAAATTGTTCAAAACGTTCCATAAATACTAATATTAAGTTCACTTAATCTTGATAATGTCTTCATCATTGCTCCCTATCACTGAATTCCCCTGACACATGGGGAGAGGTTAAGCTGTCTGTCCAAAATTACACAGCAAAGAAGTTCTATTGTTTTGTCACCGAGGACATTTTAACAAAGCCCTTTCTTTATTCACATCCCACCCCGTGCCCTAGATCTGTTTCTTCATCAAAATGGGAAGAGAAACAGGAGCCCCCACTTGATGGCCTCAGACCTCATTTAGTAGCTAGAGGTAAGCTGGCTGAGCAGGGCTATGCTTGGCTTCCCAGTGTTTGCTGCTCAGGCTCCACCCTCAGCTTCCTAAACTGCCTGTTGCCACGCCTCCTCCCTGTCTCTGGGGAATGCTTTTATTCTGAGCCCCATCCTAAAAAGTGGCTTCCTTGCACCCCCTCTGTTGGCTGAGGCAAAGGACTATCCACTATCTTGGTGGGGCGCAGGGTGCTGGAGCTGTTCCACCAGCCTTCACCCCACAACTCTGGACTGCTCTATCAAGGCAGTGTTTTCTTTGAAGTCTCCCCCCCTTCACAAGACAAACAAATTCACCCGCAGAGCTGCTAATGTGATCGGGCTAATGCATTAATTGCAAGACTTCTTAGCTGAATCAAGAGTCAGGCACAGGAAGGGGAGGAGAGGGCTGGTGAAAAGAAAACATTGAGTTATATTTAATCTATGTTTAATGATTCTAGGGAAGCACTGTCCATAATTTGTAACTCACTGGAAAGCCAGTCATTAGAAAATGTCAGTTCAATTTTTTACAAGGTTTGAGACTTAACCAGGGCAGTTGCCATTAATAGCAAACTCCATTAGATCTATATGTGGAAAATACTCATTAGGCCAGTGGGCAATAAATCAGACGACATGGGCTGTGAGGGTTCCTTCTTGGGCTTCATAGCTCCTAATTTAGACTGGGCTTGGATCTATTGACGGCTGAGTCTCCTATGCTTAATAAATAAACCTCAGCCTGTCAGGTGGTGATTAAACCATCCTAGGAGGGCTACGAGCAAATGAAACTGTCACATATGTTTCCCTGGGGTCCAAACTTCTCATGACCTCAACACATCATGGAGTCAAACTTCTCTTCATGCATATTAAAAATATCCCAGCTTATCAGTGATGTGTCAACAGAGTGGTTTCCCCTGGAGGTAGTGAGCTCTTCACCAGGAGAAGTATTTAAGCACAGGCCAGGTGAGATTCTTACCTAGGTGACTTTGAAGTTGCCGTTAGCTCTATGTTCACAGTATTCTCAAATGTCTTTAGTCTCCCCAACTATAGTGTAATTGTGCAAGCTAGTATCCAAGCAAGGCAATGTCCTAAGCCACCCTAAGTAAGCCCTAGACCGCCTTCCTGGCTTACTCCCCATGTCTAGTTGCTGCATGTTCCATCCATTCCCTGCTGCTGTATACTAGCATGCCCAGGTTCTATCGTCCTCCCTGTGGGCTAAGGTCCGGCAAAGTTCTGGAGAATCCTTGGACCCTCTCCAACTGTCACACTGCCCTGGACTTCAGGAGCCACCCATGGAGACGTGGATAGTAGATGCTGGGGCCAGCTCTTATCTTGACATGGTGGCTAATGTGGAGGGACTGTTTGACAATGATGTTGACATTTGCCACAGCAGAAATGTTTATGTCATGGAACCCTGTAAACGCTAGTTAGGGAGTGCATACTACAGTAAACTTGGTTGCTCCTTCAGCACCACTTGAACAGTGTGTTAGAGGCCTGGAGTTGATGTTGGGGTTGAGCTGAGAAGTGTATGGGGTCAAGGATTAGTGCTATTGACATGAGGGGGGATAGGAGCCTATGACAGACTGGGCCATGGCCATTTCTGTGCCTTCACAGAGCCTCTGCCTTTACATTCCACACACCCCTAGCTCAGGGCCACTCTAGATGTACAAGTGCTCATTTGATGTCCCCACCTTTTATTTGTTTGCTTATTATGTATTTTGAGATAAGGCCTCATGTAGCCCAGGTTAGCCCCCTGCTTTCTATGTAGCTAAGAATGACCTTGAACTTCTTCATTCTTCTGCCTCTATTTCCTGAGTGCTGGGTTTGTGGATATATGACACCACACCCAGTTTATGTAGTGCTGGAGATGGGATCCAAGGCCAGATGTACTCTAGGCACTACCACCTGAATGACCTCTTCAGGCCTGCTTTTGGTTTTTTGAGACAGGATCTTGTTAAGAAGCCCAGGCTGATCTTAAACATGTAATCCTTTTCTGTCTCAGCTTCCCAAGTTCTGGGATTATATGGGTATATATTACCATGCCTGGCTCATTTTTCCATCTTTGTTTTTAGCAGAATATTGAGGTCTGCATTTGTTTCTGCCACTTGCTAGCTGTGAGACCATAGACATGACATTTAACCTCTTTGAGTTTGTCCCTTCAGCAGCATGGTGACTTTTTCTCATCTCACATATGCACTGCTCAGCTCCCAGAAGTGCAGGAAGAGAGTCCCTGAACCCTTCCTGTTTTCTGCCCCTTTGTTCCCTGCCCTGGCCTTCCCACCACTTGAGTGTACCTTGGTTGCACAAGGCTCCAGAGAATCCTGGTAGGCACTCACAGATGCCACTGACATGGTGGCAGGGCCCACTGCTGTGCACGCAGAGGGGACAAGACTGGGCGCAGCCATGGCCGTAGAACCCTGGTGGGCAGACTGGGGGTATTGGGGGGAAGATAGTGGTTAGAAGCTTGTAGGGAGCAACTGGATATCCACCTTACTGGTCCCCCTTCCCAGTGAAGAGAGGTTTCTTAAAAATCGGGAGTCTGGGCCCCCACACTCGGAGGCCCGTAGCTTTTAAAGAGAGGAAGAGGGAGCTACTCCTGATTCTGCTGAGAGGCTGGGCCCTGAACTTGGGAACAGAGCAGCCAGTATAGGGGAGGAAGGCACTAAATGGAGTGAGAAGAGGGGCCTGGCTCCCATAGGCCAGTCTTCCATAGGCCACCACTACTTCTGACTGGGAGGGGCTAAGTGGATGGGAAATCAGAAACCCTTGGGGTGGGGGCCCGGCCTTACTTCTCTGACATAAGGGTCCTCGGAAACCAGGGGCACACTCGCAGCTCCCATCTTCTGGGGAACAGGAGCCTCCATTCTCACAGCTGCAGGACACTGAACAGTTGGGGCCCCAGCGACCTGGAGGGCATGTGCTGTCACAGCGGATGCCTGTGGGCAGAGGCAGATCAGGGGGAAGGGGTAAGGACAAGAGGAAGATTGAGAGAAACCCAGTGGAGGTGGGGCTGGTGGGGAGGGGCTTCTGAGAGGACACGATGCCCTTCCAGAGTCCTCAAAGACAAAAGAGCTGACCAGGCCAAGGCAGTCATAGGAGCAGAGAGCAGGAGGCATAAGAAGGCAGTATAACTTGGAGATGAACACAGCACAGTGGCAGACCCATGACAGGCTTGATGAGCTCAGCAAGAGGGGAGATGGCGGCACCAGATAACAGCTGAGCTGGCATCAAGAGCATGTTGGCCAGTGAGGGGGCTCATCTCAGGTACATGTTCTTGGTGTGAAACCTGGTGAACTGAGTCCCATGTCTGAAATTCACATAAAAATAGGAGGAGAGGGCCCGGTGTTGGTGGCGCATGCCTTTAATCCCAGTACTCGGGCAGAGGCAGAGGCAGGTGGATCTCTGTGAAGCTTGGGAAAGGGGACCAAGATGCTATTTAAAGATTTTGGATCCCTCTTCCAGTTTCCCCTTTGTGGGTGTGGCTGATGTACTGTATTCATGAAAGAAACCAATATCTAAGTATGAGCATATAATCTATGCAGCCTCCTTGATACTTTCAAGTAGTTCAGGGTAGCCTTGAACTTACTATGGGGCCAAGGATGACTTTGAAGTTCTGATGCTCCTGTCTCCAGCTCCACAGTGCTAGGATGGCTGGCATGCATCACTATGCCAGGTTTTGTACAGTGCTGGGAATGAGACCCAGGGCTCAATCATGTCAGGTGAGCATTCTACCAACATCCTTTATGTCATGTGGAGACAACTTATAATACTGGATACAGTGTGGGGCTGGAGAGATGGCTCAGAGGTTAAAAGCATCCAGGTATGGTTCCCCACATCTTTATGATGGCTCACAACCATCCATAACTTGTTCCAGCTTCAGAAAGTGGAGATTAGATGCCCCAAAGCAAACTGGTTAGTGAGACTAGTCACATGGGTGAGTTCTGGTTTGAGAGACCCTGTCTCAGTGAATAAGGTGGAAGAGAAATTGGGGGTAATTCCTGACACCAGCCCCAGGCCTTTGTGTGTATATGCATACACATGCATCCTCCCCACATATGTGCCCACACATACATATACGTGTATTTCATAATCTTATTCATAGTCTCATTCTCTCTCTGGAAAATGAAAACAAACTCTCCCTTCCTACCTGGAGGATTTTCCCAGCTTCAGGAGCCCCTCTCCATATTAATGGGTACAGTGAAGAACCTGTTCTCAAAGCCAGCAGTCCCTCAGCAACAAGCCCTTCTCTGGGAAGCCTTTCTACTTGTTTCCAAACATCTGTACCTACCTGTTACAGCTATCTTAACACCCGGTTCCTACCTCCCCTGCCAGGAACAAGAAGGGGGCAATGGCTTCCTGAATTCATCCCTGCTGACCTAGTTGCTGCTCATACCACCTGCGATGGCTTTGTAATGCTGAAGATTCAGAGTTAGCTACATAGCAAATTTGAGTCAACCTGGGCTACATGAGATCCTGTCTCAAAAGCTTACAACCAATAACTTACCCACTAAGTAAATGCCCTCTCTCAAAACTAACCTGGGCTTCTCCTCCTGTTGACACTAAAATCCTGACACCTCCTTAGCTCTAGTATAAGTGGCAGAACAAATAATCTCTAAGCTTTCCATATATGTTCATGGGATGACTTTTTAAATGGACTTCAAGAAGCATTTTTGTGAGCACCTATTGTGTTCAAGGCAAGGTAAATAAGATTGATAGAGACTGTTGTGAGAGGACAGAATATAAGCCCAAGCCAGATGGGGAGGTGAACAGTTTTCTGGGGAGGAAAAGGGGTGCTCACTGTATGGGAGGCCTAGTTTTTCTGCTCCTCATCCTGTCTTTCCTGGTCTTCCGTATAATACATCTCAGGACATCAGTCACCTGTTTGAGAAGCCTCTGGACCACCTTTGGAGAAATGTGCTTTTGAGCCAGCAGACACCTTGCTGAGATTGTCCATTTGTAATGATCATCATTAAAGTCGATGTCATTAAAATCAGATCAGCTCTGTCAAAATTAAGGCATTGAAAATTTCAAGTAGATCTCCACTTGGCTGGAGCTGGCAGAGTAGACCTTGAGAAGGCTGGACCCTTGGTTCACACTGAGGGGTAGCTGGAAGGGCAGGGGAACCTCAACCTGACATGCTATAGAGGACTATCCCTGGCCAGAATAAAAGTGGGCAGAATAAAAGTGGGCAGAATCCTGCAAAGTGAATACTGAGAATTTCCACAGCTGGAAAGCAGGGGTGTCATTAGCCAGGGGTCACTGCCATGTGCACTGTTCCCGAAAGCTCCCCGTACTGTGGTTTATGTCACTTGCTACTGTGTGCCAGGTGCTGAGCATTTGACAGTATCCTTCATTGAAATTTCAAAGTGGCGCCAAGGTTCCTTGTGAGGATTCCAGCTGTCTATGCTTTATGGGTGCAGACTTTCAGGCTATGTTAAGAAGAGGACTTACCGAAGTTCACAAGCTCAGGCAGTTTGGCTGGGGTTCTGTTCTTAGCAACCTAGTTTTCTTTTCTCAGCATGTGGCACATAGTAGGTACAGGGGTGACTAAGGCAGATGCCTTCCCAGGGCTGCTATATAAACTGCCACTCAAATCAGAGTCCAGTGTTCCTTGTGGTGAGTGCTACAGAGGAAGGACCCAGGTCACCAGAATTCATCAGTGGGGCTCTTTAGTCCCAGGCAACCTTCCACTTGAAATCTGGCATAGGAGAAAGAGTTATCAGGGCTGGAGGTGAGACCCACAGGCACAGTACTTGCCCAGCCTTTTAAATGAAGAAGAGAAAGGGGATTTACTGAATAAGCTGGAGAGATATCAAGAGGAGGCCGGAGGGCAGGTGCAGACGTAAGGAATCAGGACAGTGGTCAGGGCATGGTGTACTTGGAAGACTGAGGAAGGAGAGGATTCTGGGAATTCAAGGCCAGACTGGGTTAAATAGTAAGTTCCAGGCTAGACACAGCTACACAGTAAGATCTATTTTAATAACAAAGTAAAGAAAGTTTACTTTGGCCCAGGCACCTGGAATGACTGAGTGATAGGAACAGTGCAGGAAAGAGGAGTTGGGCAGGCCCACATCACAGGGGGTGGGGCCTTCTGACAAAAATTCTGTGTTTTTTTGTTATAATTTTTTTTCAAAACAATTTCTCATGTAGCCCAGGCTAGCCTTAAACTTGCTATGTGGCTAAGGATGACTCTGAACTTCTGATCCTCCTGCCTCTCTTTCCTGAGTACTGGGTTTACAAGTGTGCACCACCACATCTGACCAGGATCTTAGATTTTTCTGTCAGTTCCATCAAGCCACAGCAGTGAAAGACTAGGTTAGAGGTTCCCTCTGCTCACTGTGTGCAGAATGGATTCACCTGGGTGAGGTGAACGTGGGCCAGATGAGAGATGGGGCCCATAATATCAATGGGCTGGAGAGAGGTGGCAGGGTTCGCCTATATAATGGGATAGATGTGAGGGCTGAGGTTCTGAGGTGCCATGTTATCTATACACAGGCTGAGTACCTGTCAGCCTTGAAATGTGTCGTCCTAAGAACAAAGCCTCAACATTATGTTTTTAATAACTATCTCTGTACTGGGCTGAAAGGGAGCAGGTGAAGTGGAGGGGGGTGCAGAAGAAAATGGTACATGAATAGTCATGAGGAGGGAGGGAAAATCAAAAGCCTGGCTTCACAGGGCCTGGGCAGCGGCCGGGAATAGGTTACCTGTCCATCCTGCCAGGCAGCAACAGTGGCCAGTGACAGGGTCACAGCCGTCGGCATGGCTGCAGTCACAACGCTCACTACAGTTCAGCCCAAACATGCCATCCTGTGGGGAAGAGGGAGAGAAAAGTGATCACACCTAGGCTCCCACACACTTGCATCAGCTCTTCAGGGATCCAGAGATGGGACTAGGGCACAGCCATGATGCTTTATGACTGGGGACCAACAGGGCTGTGCAAAGGTCACTCCAAATGATCTTCTGGCAGTATTAATAGAAATAGGAGAGAGGGAAGCGATGATGGCCCTGCCCTCTCTCTCAGTATAGCCTCCAGGTGGTCATTTGAATTGTAGATTAAAATGCACTTTGTTGTTGATAGGCACAGTGGGGGAAATAGTGCCTGTAACCCCAGCAGCTAGGAGGTAGAGGCAGAAAGATTGCCATGAGCTCAAGATATCCTATCTCACAAAAGAAATCCTATTTTATTAATTGGGATGCACCTGTCCCACATGTGGAATGAGCATAGCCTACTCTTGTCACTGGGGAAGGAGGCATGCTCACACCCTCTTCTCACACCAATATTCTGGAATGCCTCCACCCAGTCTCACTTTCAAAATGGGAAGCAGCTGGAGAACACACTCAGGGAGGCAGGATAAATAAAGCCATGCTCAGTCTCCTACCAGTTGGTCTAGCAGCCTGAGGCTCAGTGCTTGAGTTGCCATTGCTGCCGAATGGCTTGCTTCCATGCCTTAGTAGTTACAGTGACCAGACCTCAACCCAAATACTACCCAGAAATAGCCATTCTGATGGTTTGGGGAGGACCGAGAGTGCCTTGGTGGAATGGGTTCTGTAGCTTTGCTTTCCAAGAGCAGCAACGGGAAAGCATTTCTGTCTGAGTGGCCATTTTATAGATGGGAGGGTTGAGGCCCAGGGTAGGAAGAGGCCACACAGAGGCTAACACTTCCTGAATCATCTTAGCTCTATGGACTGTACAGCCCGCCCCCTCCCCAGAGGGCACAAAGGACCAAGGTGGGTACTCACTGGACAGGGCAGTTCACAGGAGTCCCCCAGCCAGCCTGGAGTGCAGGCACAGGAGCCGTCAGAGGGGCTGCAGGCTGCCCCATTGGCACAGACACAAGACTCATTGCAGTTCAGGCCCCAAGTCCCACTGGGACAAGGCAGAGAGCAGTCTGGGCCCTGCCACCCTGGAGAAAGGGCAAAAGGTATCACCTAGCCATGCCCAGCATGCCTTTCTTTCCACTTCCCCAGCTCCACAGGCAGCAGTCCTGTTACCATGGTTGCCTAGATCTCCCTCCCTGACACAGGGTTTACACCATTTCTGATGCCTGGAGATGAGCCCACTGGGCCATGGGTCTGGCCTTTGGGGTGTCCCCCTTCCCAGACCATGGGTGGGGTTTAACAGTACATCTCCGTTGTGAAGTCTGTCACTGCTTTTTCTCCAAGACTGAACCCTTCCCTCCTCTGTTCCCTCGAGCTACTCCTGAGGAATGCAGACCCCTGCTTCCCAGCTGCAGCCTCCTGAGGGAGACCTGGCCGGGAACCAGAATGGGAAAGGAGCCAGGTGCATCATTTTCTCTCCCTGCCTTGGGCTGGGCCTTCCTTAGTGTTTTCAGAGAGTACGTCTTTATGTAGCCCAGGCTAACCCAGAACTACAGTTTCTCCTACATCTGCATCCCAAGTGCAAACATACCCGGCTTGGGCCAGACCTTTGACAGTGGCTGTGTCTCTATGGACCATTAGCACCTCTACAAAGCCCTTTTAGCTTCCACCACGTAGGTCTCTCATCCAGGCTCAGGGAACTTGGTCTCCCCATTCTGTCCCTGCAGCCCACGTGGCTCACCTTCTCTCCATGCTCCCAGCAATTCAAAACCCAGAAGGAGACCCTCCTACACTCCTATTCTCCTAGTTCCAGATGTGGCTCTCCATGGTTGCAATCTGACCTACACAGACTCTTTGAGTGGGGAGTGGGCTTGAGCAGCCCCTCCTGAGACCCTCAGCTGTTGGCACACCTGAGCCTGGGCACAGAGCTGAAGGGAAACTTACCCTCTTGGCAGGTGCAGGAGCCATCCACAGGGGAACAGGTGCCGCCATTGCTACAGCTACATACAGATGAGCAGTTGGAACCATAGGTCCCTGAAGCGCAGGGAACCGCACACACCTCTCCCTGCACAAAGAGGGCCTGGGTGTGAGATGAGCATGCTCCCATTCTGGGTGGCTGTGCCCCCTCCCAGTGCCCAGCACTTATTCTTTTCTTTGAGCTAGAGCCTCACTGCATAGCCAGGGCTGCACTCAAACTCACAGAGATCTGCTTGCTTCTGCCCCAGAGTTGGTGTTGGGGTATGTGTGTGTGTGTGGGGGGGGGGTCAAAAGCATGTACCACCATGCCTGGCCCCTTCTGTTATACGGCAAAAGGAACTCTGCAGGTGTGACAAGAACCTTGAGACAGAAAACTAAGGTACTTGGATCATGGAGGTGGGCCTAATATCTCAGAGTCCTTAAATCAAGTGATTAGAGAGGGTGGGTCAGAGACATACACTAAATCCTCCCACAGTGAAGATGGTGGCCTCTTGGCTGAGCTTTATACAGCCAGCAAGAATGGAGACCTTGACCTGACAGTCACAGAAATACATTCAGCCAACAACTGGAAATGAACAAGCAGGAAACTAGATTCCCCTTCTCCCCACCCGCCCCCAGTACTGTTGGCTCAATGATTTCAGTTGGAGTCAGGTGTTGGTTTAGGCTAACACACAGGTGAGGATTTCTGCAGTAATCTCCAGTTGGGGGAGGATTCCAGTCCCCACACCAGAGCTCTAGTGGGGGCAAAGTCCCTCTGCATTAGGTCTCAGCAACACAGCCTGCAACCTGGTACCTCCTATCAGTTGGACTGTGGGGGAGGGAGGGAGTTGGAAGGGTGGGCATGAGTGAAAGGGTCTCTCGTATTACAGGCTGGCTTCAGACACAGTGTAGCTGAGGATGAGCTTGGACTTTTGATCCTTCTGCCTCCACCTCCGATTGCTGAGATTACAGACCAGTGCCAAGTGAGATTTCAATCTGCTTTAATTCTCAGCAGCTAGGTGCATGCAGAGACAGCCCATCCCTGTTTGCTCTAATTCTCAGCAGCTAGGTGCATGCATGGAGAGATAGCCCATGCCCATTTGTTGGTGCCTTAAAGAAGTCAGAGGGCACGAACAATGGCTTTTGAGTGCTCTCTCGGGATCACACTCCTCAAAGACACAAACTATTGCTTCCCTTTCTTCCCAAGACACACAAACA